GGTCCATTAAACTATTTGGAACTCAGGCTTCACTCTCAAGATAAACAAGTTTCCAGAGCTAACACCAAAAGTCAGGGCAGTACCTTGAATTTGGGGACAGACAGCTCCAACTCCTTAGTTTTGGTCCATATTCGCCCTATTCTGGGATCCCTGACACAATCCACAGGAGCGATCCCCGAGTTCTGGGAGAAGGAGGAGGAGGAAGAGGAGGAGAGAAAACATAGAAACAGCAATAACAAGACTTGAAATCTAAGACAAAAATAAAAGAAAAAATAAACCCCGAGGAAGCACGGGCTGTCTCAAGGGAAGGGGAAAGCGCACACACACACATACACACACGTGTCAAATTGCAATACTGCTGGGAAATGCACACAGATTGGAAACACAGGAAAAAAGCCGCAGGTTTGGGCTCCTGACAGTTGAATACACAGTGTCAGGTGGCTGTAACTTTGGTGGCTGTGCGTGTCCCCCCCAAGACCCCCCTCCCACACACATGCGCTACGCCGAGGATTACCACGACCCGGAGGGACCCCCAGCCCCCAAAACGCCGGTAAGACAGAGGCTGGCGGGGGAGACACGACACAATGGGGGAAACCCGGGAGCCCCCCACTCACAGGCATGCTGAAATGTTGCCCATCGTAACGGTAGAGTTTGTGCTGTCCTTTTTTCAGAGCCGGGTCAATAATCAACTTGTAACTTCTCCAATGGTGATTTCTTTTCTCGACAGAAGTGCTGGCTTGCGTGCTGTTCTCCATTCCGTTGATCCAACCTGAACGCGGGAGGGGGGGGAGTGGGGGGGGAAGAGAGAAAGGGGGAAGGGGAAAAGAAAGAAAAACCACACTAAAAACCATAAAGTTAAAAAAAATATTTAACAAAGACATCTTCGTTTCGGTGCGGGTTTTTTTTTTTTTTTTTTTTTTTAACGAGCCGCCCGATCTACACACCCAGGCAGGGAGGAAATCCACCGCGAAGCGAGCCCCAAAATGGGGGAATTGCCAACCGGGTCCCCCCCTCCACCCCAACGAGACAAGAGGCAGAGAGGGAGGAGGAGGAGGAGAGGAGGAGGAAAAAAAAAAAAAAGAAGAAGACGAAGAAAAAAAAAAGACCCAATCTCACTTGAACTCTGCTTTTTGCCATGATCTTCAGGGTGCTTGGCTTTTTCCCCCGCCTTGGTCTCTCGGAAAGACATCGCGCTGGGCGGCCGATCGTCTCCGGGCGGCGAAAGGCGAGCTCCCGTCTCACATGGGGCCGGTTACCGGCGCGGGCTGCCCGCCAGGCTCCTGCCTCCCGTTTTCGCGAGCCACCACATATTGTGTGTGTGCTCGCTGCTGGCGGCGGCCGGGATCCCACAATACACCGCTGCGAGCGCCGCGAACGCCTAACCGCGCTCCGCCGCCTGCACATTCACGGCGGCCGCGCCGCGCAGCCCCCGGCCCGCGGCCGCCCGCCGCCGCCCCGCCGCCGCCGAGCGCCGCCGCATGGGCCGCCGCCGGGACGCGCGGGTTTTTTTTCCCTCCCCGCCGCGGGGTTAACGGCATGCGGGGGGGCGAGTGGAATCTGCCCGCTGCATTTACCTTAGAGCAAACTGTTTCTAAACAAGATGGACCTATAGGTGGGACAAGTTGGGGTGGTTTTTTTTCGCTTTTTTTCTCGCTCCTTTTTTTTTATTTTTTTAGGGAAAGACTTCGGCGAGCCCAGGCGACCACGGGGGCGGGTGGAGCGCGGACCCGCCGCGCTGCTGCGGCGGAGAGCGCGGGGGGGGGAAAGCTGGCGGGGGGGGGGGGGTGGCAACACACGCAGAGGAGGGGGTGATAGAAGATGGGGGAGCAGCTTTGCTTATTAAAGGTCCGGAGCCCTCATCAGCCAATCAGCGGGGAGGTTCCATTTTGTTTTCGGTATTAAAGGCGGGCGGCGCGGTGCCCCCGGCGCTCGGCGGGCGCGGGGCCGGGCGGAGCGCGGCGGGCGCATGGCGCGGCCGTCCCGGGGCGCGGGGCCGCGGTGGCCCCGGGAGCGGCCGCGCCATTGGCTGGGGCGGCGGCAGCGCGGCGGGCGCAGCCAATGAGAGCGCGGCTTCCATGGGGCTTGAGTTATTAGACGGCGGGGTAAAAGCACCGCGCGGCAGAAGCCAAGGAGAGGCCGCGGGACCCGCAGCCATTTTTCTGCAGTGGAGCGAAATGGCCAACTGGGCTTTTCCTTTGTTCCATAAAGGGGGATCCGCCATGTGAATCCACACCACGCGGGGTGGTGGGAGCCTCTAGCACGGTGCCAGACGACTCACTGAAGAAGGAGGATTTAAATATATATATATATATATATATCAAACCCTTAACAAAAAAAAAAAAAAAAGTAATGCGGATTTTTTTTTTTCACCCTTATGATTCGGGATCCATCTTTGTCTTGTGTAACTAGGTCATGGCACACCCTATGTCAGCAGTTAACAATTTCGAATGCCAACAAAAAAAAGTAAATACATTCTTTTTATATTTTTTTTCGTTGTTTTGGGGGTTTTTAAGCTTTAAGCAGCTCTGATGACTGAACAATAAATTTGAGAGATTTCTCTCTTGTATTAAACACTTGATTCCTGGCCATTTTTATTAACTCCTTTGGTGCTTAAAAGGTAATGTTTTAAATATAGGTATAGGAACAGTGAATTCTGGCAAAAAATAAGGCAATTTTACTATGATAAGCTCTTTCTCTTTCTTTCCTCTTACATTGTAAGTACCCAATCCATTCTGTCCTTGCTAAGTGTAGTTTTCATGTTAATGTTACTGAAGTGGTCCTTATTGCTAAGCCTTCATTTGCATGTCTTATGTTTTTGTCTGTTTAAACCAATTTATGCTTTCTGAAATATTTTACTTATAAAGTGAACTATCTGGCTAAGATATGCTTAAAAGTTGTTTAGCACCAGTAAATGTTAACTAGGTGTTTTCACACTGACATGTGCAGCCTAAAACTATTGAGGAGAATATTTTTAGTGTCTGCGTGCTCTGTGGAAAAACACTGAACGTCCTTTTTATGTACAGAGTAAATCTGCCACAGGAAGGTAGATTTAAGCCTCGAGCAGGAGTCCTCGCCTGTGTACGGTCAGTCAACATAGCTGGACTTTTTCTATAGCTTTTTTTTCCCCCTTTTTTTCCTCTTTTTTTGATGCTAGACCACTGCCATACAAAGATCCGTAACTTATCTTAACAAGATCCGCTTTGGCTCGCAAACTTACGAGAGAAGTGGTGATACAGATCACATATATACTTATAGCCATTATTTTAAAAAAGAGTAACAACTTCACCTTCAGAGCTGCATTCAACTATGGTGTGCGGGTAAGTAAACCCCTTTGCCCTTGCAGAGGAACAAATAGCCCAGGCCTGTAGCTAATGGTATTGTCCTGGGTGGAAAGATCCCAATGGTCGTCTGAAAGCGGTGGCGATCTCCTTCTCCTCAGAAACATCTAACAGTGCCTCTGAAACGTCTGTTTTCAGGGAGGGATTTGATTTCTCTTTCTGCACAAAGCTCTTGGTCGTCCTCAGCCCTGGGTGGGTTTGGTTTTTTTTGGTGCGGAGAGACGCTGTGAATCCATTGCAGGCATTACGTGGCTGTTAAATTGAAAGCACAAAAAAAATCTGCCTGTGAACAGTAAGATGTTAGTGAGGTTGATGTTAAAAAAGGCGAGAAGGCGGTGGTGGTGGTAGGGATCCCTTACATGTTTTATCCGTCTAATTACAGAAGCTCGACAAAAAACAGGCAACAAAATGGGGGGGTGTTTTTCACGACGGTGAGTCTTAATGGCGGATGTCTCCCTAGAAAGCACTGTAAAATCCTTCATACCGAGAGGCAGTGACTTGGAGAGAGGGGGGAAAAAGGAGGTCTGGAAGTATATCCAAAATGAGGGAGTTTCCTTCCAAGTGAGGGACCCTTTGCAGCCTGAGTGTTACAGATGGAGAGCCGTGACGCAGTTGATATTCACAGCAGTTGTGCTTTAGTGCCGCCACCCAGCCCACGAAAATGGCCTCCCCGCCGAATTCTGGTGGGTTTATTATGTGAAAGGCTGCGGCAGCACCGTGTCCCGGGCGGCGGGAGGGGCGGCCGGCGGCGGGCACGGCGCTCCCGGTCGTGCTCCGTGTTGTGTGAGGGCAGCCGCCATCATGGCTTCTCCTTCCCTTCGGCGCCGCGTTCTCCTCAGCGCTGGGCGGTGGCGCGGCGGGCTCTCCCCCCGCTGCCTCCCGGCGCTCCGCGTCCCGGGCGCTGCAGGGAAATGATGGGTTTGGGGTGTTGTTTTTTTTTGGTGTTGTTTTTTTTTTCCTTTTCCCCTTTCCCGCCCCCCTTCCCCCAGCGCTTTGTGAGGGGCTGTGGAAGGGCGAAGCTGGGCAGGGAGCGGCGGCTCTTTCTCCCCGCTCACAACATGGCGGGAGCGCCCTGCGGCAGCGGGGCTGGCGGCGCTCCAGCCGGGCCGGGCGGGGGGGGCGGCCGGCCGGGAGGACAAAGGCAGCTCGGATAATGCCGGCGCAGCCCCGGCTGCTATAAATAACACCGCCCTTCCCCCGCTGCAGCCTCCCGCTCTCTTTATAAACAGCAAGCCATGGAAGTCGCCTAATGCAGAGGGGGGGAAAAGAGGAACAAACAACAACACCCCCTTCCCTACACACATAAGGGGAAAAAATACAAAATGAACAAAAAAATTAAACCCCAGGCAGTGTGGGGGACGGGGGGAACCAGCAGCGCTGGCCGCGGGAGGGGCCGGGCGGCGCCGCCACCTCCCCGCCCGGAGCGGGTGCGCCGGGGGGAGCGCGGCCGCCGCTCCCCGTCACATGGCTCTTTGTTGTTTTTCTTCTCTGCCTCTCCTGGGCTGTTCCCCCCTCCGCCATCACCCAGCCGGGGCAGCGCTGCCCTGCCTCCTCCGGCCTGCAGCGCCGAGCTCCCCGGGCCCACTCGGGCAGGGCTGGCGCGGAGCCGGTGCCGCGCTGCAGTGGATCCGCCATGGCCCGATGAGGTGTTACATGTGGCGTCTTTTTTTTTTTCTTTTTTTTTTTTTTCTCCTTCTGATTTGGTTTTTTTGGTGGATTTTTTTTTTCCCGAGCAGATTCTGCTGTAGCTCGCATTGAGTGGAGGCTGAGGGTTATCTTGGAACTTGACAAGCCTCGCTGTGCTCTGCGGGGAATTGCAGCTTGTGCTTACTGCAGACCCAGAGTAGGTGAGCCAGGAAAGCCTGGCTTGAGCAACCACTTCAGAGGGCAGGACAGGGAGGAAAAGCAAACACTGTAGAGAGGTGGCCTCCCTGGTAAGGCTAGAGCAGGACCGTCCTGCGGACTCTGAGGGAGGGAGAAGGTAAGTGGCTGCTTGGCAGAGGCTGTCTGCGGGAGCGGCTTGTGCCGGGCAGGGTGCGCCCTGCCCGCAGCTCCTGCGGCTCAGCACCAGCCGCTCCGTGGGTTTGTACAACCTGTGCTGTGGTATGTGCCGAGGCTCAGGGCTGTTTCCCTGCGAGGGAGCAGGGTGCTGCCGCGAAGGAGGCACCGCAACCCGCGCCTTTCGCAACAACTGCGCTCATCGCTCCATTCCTCGCTCCCCCCCTCGCTCCTCACCGGGTCAGCCTCTATGTCGAGAACAAGCGACAAACCGTCCGCACAAAACAGAACACGTTCCCATGGAGGGGGAGAAAACCAAACAAACCAACAACAAAACCAAAGCTCTTCCGCAGTGCCAGGCTGGCGTTGTAGCGCTGCGAGCCCTGTCGGGGGCTGCGGCGCTCAGAACCGGGGCCGCCCGAGCCGCCGCTCGGTCCCTGCCCGGCCGGGAGCGCCGGGCCCGCGCTGGAGCCAGCCCTGAGCACCCGGCCCGGGTCACGGCGGCTCCCAGTGACCGTCTGCTGGCAAAATCGGAAGGAACGGTGACGTTGTTCTTAGCTGAACACCATTAAAATGCTCCTCTGGTATCTCTCAATAGAGGTGAAAAGCATTTCAGCTTCCTGGAAATGGCCGAAAGAGGCGACGTGTAGATCAAAGTACGGCGCAGAGCTGGGCTCGTGTTTGCAGGGGTTTTTGAACTGTAGTGAAAACGTTTCTGCAGCTTGCATCGTAATGAGTTAAGTCAGCACGTGAAGCGACTAAAAATGGCATATTTAAACAGCATCGGGCTATTAACTTTCCTGGGATTTGAGATTTATGTTTAAATATATATTTGGCTGTTAGCAATACCAGCATTTAAACTGTAACGTTGATCTGTTCAACCCTGAAGCAAACCAGCTCTGCCTAACGCAGCTTTGAAGCGACACAGCCAGACCATAATACTGTGGGAGCTTAGACAGCTTTGTCTGTACTTGCATCTCTGCATATTTTTCCAGGACTCTGATCTTTGTCTGCGATTAATCATTGTCCAGGACGGCTGTTCCCGGTGGTAGAATCCATGAAGTGCTCCAGCTGGGAGAGCTCCTAACGCGTGTGCCTGGCGCTGCGTACGTGCAAACCAGGGCCAGAAATTGCTGGGGCAGCAGGCGCTGGACAGCGAGCCTGCCGTGCCGCCCCAGTGAGTTGTGTGAGTCCTCAGCACTTCTGGAAGTTGTTTTTGTAAGTCTGAGCTGAAAATTTCTTTCCGTTTTTTAGAGTTTCTAAATGACTGTAATGTTCAGTGTAGTTTAAAAGTCGCCAAGGCAGTTGAGACCAGTCGTGCTCTCAGAGTGGGTGGTTTCATGGCTTGAACCTCGTATCTGAAAAGAGAAATGTTCTGGTACAGCGTGTTTAAATCCCAGAAAGGTCAAACCAGACTTTCATACTTGAGTTAGATTGACCCTGGTTTGCTGCGTGAGACTCTTTAGATAAAGAGATCTTTCAGGGGAAAGGGGGGGGGGGAAAGATTTTTTTTCTCTGAACAGCTTGTGGTGACTCTGTGCACATTCTTGAAGCAAAGGAGTTTGTTCTTGCCCACAGCGTCCCTGCCTGGCATTGTTGAGTGGAAAACTCTTATGCTAATTATATCACTGTCTGTTATCAATAAGAAGTGATTTAATTTCTTTGGCAAAGTGTTGCAACAAGAGCAAATTAGATTGAGAGGCAAAGTGAAATAAAAAATATGCAGCTGTTCTGCCAAACAATGATCCTGACTGTTTACAACATTTTGTTTTAGACTGCCTTGTACACAGAATCCTTTATATGGTAGGTTTTAAAGACACAATCCGCTGCTTGTGCAAGAAAACTAGATTAATAGATTATAAAAGACAAAAGAGACCAAGGTTCATCTGGTTCAACTTCCTGCATTATGCAGGGCTCTTGATTTTTATGATTTTTTGGCCTTTTCTCATTTGAAAGAATTTAACTGCAGCATAGCTGCATCTTAGATAAAGATCAGATTTTCTTTTTCAAATGGGCCGTGAAAGGGAGTAAAATAAGGGTAAATTGTTTACATCAAAAATCTACCTGACAGACTACAAATCAAAGTACCTTTTTAAACTTGTCTAGTTTCTGCTTTCAGTCTCTGGATGTGCCTGTCCCTCAGTCTCCTTGGGAGAGGAATGCTCCATGATGAGATTTCCGTCCCCTCGTAGCTGTGTGCAAGCTGAGCATTTAAACACTCCATTGCAGGCTGCAGAGCTCCCCCTCGGGTCCATCTTTGCTAATCCTGTAATTGTTCCTGCTCCGGTTTGTCACCATTTTGATCTGGGCAGAAGGGGACAGAGCCATGGGCAGTGACCATGCTCTCCTGGCTCAGATGTGTCTGTCAGGCACACAGGGATTACTCCAGCCCGTGTTCAGCTGGTTTCCCAGCAGGGCAGCTGAAATGCTCTCAGATCTGCTCCTTCTTGGGATGACAACCCTGTACTGCAGAATTGTGCTCTTTGTTTTGCTCGTATGGCTTTACTCTGGTCCTCTTAGACAGCGTTGTTGCTTGCAATGGCCTTTTTAAATTATTGTTTTTATTTGATATTTCCTTCTGATATTGCTTAGTGTCACCTACAAACTTGGTTGGTTATGATTTTATGTTTTCTTCCAGATAAACAACCTATCTGCACGGTGGGTGTTTCCCGGTTCTGGGTATGTGTACACACACCTCAGCAGTGTCAATATTGTGTCAGGAGGAGGTCTGGTTCCACACCATCCCTTGCCACACCCCAGTTGCATGGGAAGAAAGCCCAGTTTAGGAGCTGGAAAGGAGCCAGGGGCACACTGCAACACTTGCCTGCCCTGGTGTCCATTATGTAGCCATGAAATAATGCAGAGCACAAAACAGGTGGTTGCAGGTCCCATAAAAGAAAGATGAGAGGTCTGGGGCAGGGTGGTTACAAAGTACATTTTGAGACCTTGCTCTTAGATATTTTTTTTTTAGACATGATGCCTCACTACATACTCTGTATCCAGCTGTTCATTCAAGACCTAAATACATTAGGGACTTCTTCCCCCCTGCCAAATTTGAGATTAGAGGAAGGAGGGGGGGAAATTACATAGAACAACGCAGTCGCATTAGACAGCTTTATTTTTAGGAAACCAGGCTAAGAATATCAAAGGAATATTGAGTAGGAATATGGACAGGGTATTTGCCTGTTCAGATTTTCTTGCCATGAAATTTTTCATTCCTTCCTAAGAACAGCAGATGATCTGTCTAGGGAATTGTCAGCCAAAATAAGCAACCTGCTGACAGATTTCACCTGTGTCCCAGCATGCTCTGAGGATGCATGGGATGTGAGCCTTGAACAATGACAGGGAAAATCACTAGGCTGTGTTGTTCGGCTGCCGGGGTGCAGAGATGCATGGTGACACCCAACAGTGGAACAAACATTTACTGTGTTTAAAATCCAGACAAATTTTTATGGCTATGTTGGCCATTTGCCATAGCTGGGGGGTGGGGGTGGTGTAACCTTTTAAATTGTACGTGATCATATTATTTCTGCAAGTATTATGACAAAGCCACCTCTGTAAGGTAGGGAGTGAGTGCTTTCAGAGATCTAATCTTTCTTGAGCTATAAAGGAATAAAGAAGCTGTTTCAACACCTGACTTGCAGAATGTTTTGTGTTGCTTCTTGCCTATTGAAATGCTGTTGCCATTGAAATGCTGTGATCCTATCAGGATGTAGAACAGGTTATTTTTTAGAATGCTTTCAAGCTTATAAAAATCATGAGATAAATCAAGACGGCTGGCAATTCTAATCAGCATTCTAAAGCCATCGAATTACAAAACAGTTCAGTGCTTCATGGCCCCTGAACAGTACAGTTTCACAAAAATAAAAGAGAAAGAATGAAAAGAATGTACCATTTAAAGAGGCCGGGCACTTACAAAGCTTGCATCAGAGGGAAATGAAGATACAAATAAGTAATCTAAAAGGATATTTATGCATTAAATTACTTGTGTCTCTGGACACTTCATTAAACAGTCTGGATATGATGGTAGCTGGGGACCTGGGAGCCATTTTAACACATGCAGCACATACAAGGAACATTCTGATTATAAGTGATGGAGTATAAAATGTTTCAGCCAGAAACCGATGACAAAGATCAAATGGAATGAGTTCAGCTTACAAATTAGAGCAGTTTCTTCCCACCGGTGCCATGCGACACGAGACCGGGACTTTGTTTTGCCCTTGACATTGCTGCCACTGCTCTCAATCCTGCAGTTAAGGATTTGCATCTTGATTTATTGTTTGACAGGAGAGCAGGGAGTGCCCCAGCTGGTCCCCCGAGCCCTGGGTCGCAGCCCAGTGGGCCCGAAGGTGCCGGGTGGGTGAAGGCTGAGCAGCTCCAGCAGCTCGCAGTTGCTAAGCAGCTGCACAGCCTCTGCCTGTGCTGTGCGAGGGGAGCAGCACGGCTTCCCCTTGATCGCTGGAGAGGAGCCGGCAGCATGGAAACGGCAGCCGTGGCCATGGCAAAACCGCTCCGCTCCTGGCTGGCAAAGACGCTGGAGCGAGGAGAAGGGACTCGCGGTGGATCAGGGGGTGGCAGGAGGGGCGGGGAGAGGCAGCATATGCGCACAGCAGAGGTTACAAAGGCAGCAGATCCTGCCAGGGCGGGGGGCACACACCGGGGAGAAAGGAATGGGAGAGAGGCCAAAGGCACAGTTCAGAATTTAAAAAAAAAAAAAAAAAAAAAAACCAGGAGGAGAGTGTGGCATATGGAGGGGGGAAATAAAGCAGAACTTGCACAGCCTGCGAATAATTGAATAGAAAATACAGGAAGAGGGAAGGAGCTTGATTCATTACTGCCCTTCACCTTGTGGAGACAGCTACACCCAGGAAGAGGAGGTGTGGAATACAACAGCATCCTTCATGTTTCACAGTGAACTGTGGGTTTTACATTTTTCAGCCCCTGCCATTTGTGGTTTTCTCCTTTCATAGCCCATGCCTTTTGTTCAGACTTGACTCCTGCAGGCTCTGTTCTTATCTTTGTCTACTTTTGAGTTATTTTTGAACTTGCTTTAGCTTTTTTTTTTTTCTTTCTTTCTTTTTTTAGGTAAGTTTTAAATTAAAATACCTTTTTCCAGATACTTTAGTTGTTTTAACCTTCAAGAGGGCAGGCCATTGCTAGTTTCTAACTGAAGTTAGTTTCCACTAAACCCTCACAGTTGTTGCTGCATTTCTCCCTGTCTCTCCCCTGGGAGCTGCTGATGCAGGACAGGGCTCTCTTTGCTTCCTGACACCTTCCCCTCCACATTGTCTTTCCCTCTCCCTGGGCAGTGCCTGGCAGCAGTCCGGAAGGACTCGCAGTCAGCAGTGTGCAGGAAGAGGTTCCTGTGGCTGCAAATTATCACAAGCTCCTGACGTGTTGCATAAAGGGGAGTGAAAAAAGGGTCAGGAACATCTGCAGGGGGTTCTGGCCACAAGGGACCCGTAGTTCCACCAGCACTGCCCACATGAAAAGCACTTCATGGTGTTGGTACCTACCCTGCAGTTGGCTGTGGGATAGGAAATGCCAGTGGAGCTGGCAGGGGGGCAGGAAAGCTGGACATTCCTCTCCTCCAGGCACAGGACTGAGGGGCATGGCTTGTACAGCAGGGTGGGGAGAGGAATTTAAGCTCGTGCAGCTGTTGCTCTGCTGTGACCAGCCCAGGCTTGCTTGGAGGCCTTTCGACTGAGAACACTTTCTCCCAGGTCCAAAACTGAGTCCTAAAAGGAAAATGGAGGTGCCCACTCAGACTTACAGTGGAAATTATTTGCTGTGGGTGCTGTGTGTGTAGTTCAAGCCAATAATATACTTGACAAATACACAGCCAGATGTGTCCTGTACTTAGAAAATTTTTGTCTGAGATGTCTGATTCGTGGGGATGCTGTATTTGCTTCCTTCTTCCATTTGCATGGAGCCCTTATCTTTGAGCAGGCACTGTCTGTACTATTGTTAGACTCCCAAGACCATTAAAGGTCTTGGGGCACTGGCATTTTACAAGCAGATCCAGCTGCCATTCACACAGGGGCATTTTTAGCCTTATGAGAGATCTAAATTTAATTAGAACAGTTTTAACCAGGAAATCTCCCCAACTCAACAAATCAGAGCTACTATGCTAATCCCAGTAAGCAATGAGGAACTTGACAATGTGCCTGTTGTTACAGGAGATTCAGGAAGGGTGAGATGTGTGTAGGAAGGGTGAAATGCACAGGAAATGTGCCATCAAGGACAGAGGTGTGGAGCAGGGCAGGGCAGTGCCAGACCCAGCACTGAGACCTTGTTGCTCTCTGTGCCTGCCCTCACCACCCCTCAGCACTGCTTGAACTCCTTCCTTACCTGCTCTGGTGACTCTCAGCAAGGACATCCAGCCAGGCCACTCTGCACTGTCAGCCCAACCAGCTCCCACAAACCAGGCACAGGCCAAGAATCACAGCTCTAAAGCAAACATCACTCAATTACAACCTGGTTTTATTTCCAGCGCCTCAAGTTATTTATTAACCTGCTTGGAGCATTACTGTTCCTGTCAGGGTTTGCTCTGGCCAGGTTATGGCTGCTCTCAGGTCTGAGAAATGTTCAGTCTGGGCCTGTGCTCTGCCTGGCCATGCTCTGACAAGCCACAAGCTCCTCTGGCTCCTGCCAAACCTCCACCTCTATGAATGAGCATCTTGCCAGCCAGACAACGACAGAGCAAGTGCTTCCTGCTTAGCTTTACCCATACATCCAGCACTCCACAAAAAACAGGCAGAAATTTTGGTGCCCCCCATATAAACAGAGGATTTTATCATCTCTTCAGTCTGCCATTGCTGCCTTCCTGTGGGAAGTTTGCACAGATATCAGAGGGGATGATGCAAACTTGATGTTAATGTCAGTGCTATGCATTACTCAGCAGAAACATGGCCCTGTTTCATCCACAGCCCATTCTCTTATAGCCTACTTCACCATCTTTTATTCTTCCTCTATGAACATTTCCAGTTTCCCCACATCCTTGTCCAAAAGGTTTGAGAGCTTCCTGCCTGGGCCAGGTGCAAGAGAGCAGGAATGAGGTGTTGATCAAAGCCTGACTCATGGCTCTGTAAAACACACACTTGTTCAGGCTGCACTGTAGCTCACATAGTGAAAAGCATATTTAGGAAGCCAAACCCAGGTTCCTTTAAACTTGATGTTCTCTACAGCCACACAAAAAAATTACTACTCCACATATTTCAGGTTTAGAGGAGTCTTCCAACAGAATTTTGGGGAGTGTGACCCAGATTTGGCAATCCATAGTTGACTCACCCATTCCATATTAATCCCTCCTGTGCAAGCTAAAGCAGCTGAATGCAACTCCTCTCCTGGTGCTGTGGTCATCTTAATTAACACACACTCCTCTTGGGCTCTGAACTAGCAAGTACATTAAAAGAAAATATCGCTATCCACAAGGAATTACATAATTTGGGAACGAGAGAAGGGAAAAGAGATCTGAAAGAAGCAGATACTGCAGAGAGTGCTCCAATTTTGAAAAAAAAGTAATATCTTGATGCTTTCTGGGTTAGGTGGAATGTTGGGTAATGAAAACACAGGAAGGCCTAAGCCAGAGGGATTTTAGAGGTTATACTAAAGGGATTGGTTGGATACTGGCTAAGAACACATTGTGTTGCAAGCAAAGCTGTTTGTAGCCCTTTTCCCTAAATTTCCCCAAATTACTTCCTGATGGGATGTGTTCTCTGCTGCAGATCTGGATGCAGAAGATCATCTGAAGGTGACTAATTTCACACAGATCTGTAGCAGATCCCTGATCTCTGTCAGCCATGAGCAAAGCTGTGCCTCACTCCTGAACCCTCTGCTTGTGCCTGTTCCCAAGGCAAACACAACTGCAGATCTCACCTGAAACGAGGTGTTCTGGATCCCTCTCTCTACACCAAACCCCCAGATTGCCTTCCCAGCACAGAGGCAGGGGATGAGATCCAGCATGGCTGTGATAGCTCTGCCAGCCTGGGGTGACAAATTCCTGCCTGTGGCTCAGCACATCTGGGAGACACATCCCCAGATCCATGGGGGCAGAGCTGTGGAGGTGCTGGCAGACACTCACCTGTTCATTTCATGTTTTTCAGAGATCACTCATTGTGTTTGATGTTCCAGAAAGGCATAGGATGATCCTAACTTTGTGTTACCCATTTTTCACAACAGAATTTGGCTTGAGAGTTCACGCTTTAGTGAGCAACAGAAACTTGAAACTGCCTCTAAGCACCTACTGTATCAGGATGAGATGTCACCACATTGATTTACTTCAGGTTTGTAAAATGGGGTGGTTTTCCCCCACAGCTGCAAAGCCAAGAACTCAGTTTCTAATGAAAGATGAAATTCAAAACACAGCACGTTGGCCATGGATGTATCAGGTTGGCCATATTTGCCCCACACAGTTGGCAGCCCTGATTTAAAGAATCCCAGAGAAAATAGCCAAGAAAGAGTTTGTGTTCCCTATAAATAGCTGCTCACCAGGTAGTCATGAGTGTGTGGTTTATGAATAAAGTTTGTCCAAACTACATTAGATTGCCTGAATATTCTCTGCCTGATTTTGCTGAGTTCTGTGTCTTAATTTGTCTCACACCTCCCCTTGCAGACCCTTGTCCTGTTTTCTTTCCCAACTCTCTGAACTCCCTGGTAGCATGTGGACAGATTTTACTTAGAGTTTATCCAAAGATTTCTGCACTGATTTAGTGCAGGGGCTACTTGAGCCAAGTGAAACAGGAACTATTTCTAAGGCATGAAAAGGCAGAAAGGAAATTTTCTTATTGAAATATAATTTTTCCATATTACTTAATAGTCTGGAAAGTTAATGCCTTTCTGGCAGCACTTCCCACTGGGAAAAAAAAATATGGTTCCTACTCAGCCAAACAACAATGTAATAATGTTTTAGGCTGGGTTAAGTGTCTCAGAGATTGGCAGGTGTCACAGCCACCTTGCCTTCAGTGAAAAAGGCAATTGAGACCCCTTATGGAACAAGGGATTTACATCAGTAGGAGCTACTACACAAAAAACCAGGCACATGGCAAGGTTTGAATAGATGGTGAATCATGTGGCCCAAGGGATTTTTTGGGGTGGGGGCATGTGTGTAAAATATCAGGCCATGAGGAGCAGATGGTTGAGCTCTGCATGTGTGAGAGGAACAGCGAGAAACACGGCAGAAATGGAGACTGAGAAGCAGCTGAAAGTCAAGGACACTGGGGAGCTTTGATTTTGGAAATTGTGTGCAGGGTTTAGTGAGGGTCAGAGCAGTGTTGGCACTGTGAGCAAAAGCACAACTGAAAACCAATTTTGTTCATTTGTTCTGTAAACAGGAGGAATCACCTTGAGTGGTACACACCTGCTTTGTCATGGGCTTCTCCTCTCACACGGATTCTGTCACCAGAACTTTGTGATGTGTGCAGGGATAGTTCAGCTCTCCCACATCATAATTCCCCCTTCCTTCTGTGCCCTGTCCATAATGAATTCTGTGGGGCAGAGACTCCCTCGGTAAGAATCTGTGTGCACATGACAAGCAATTGTTGGCCTTGTACAACATCTGAAATTTATCAGAGATTCACTTGACTTACTTGGTAAATCCCATTCCTTAGGGTCTGTCTTTCTTATTGTGAATTTTTCAAGGCATTGTTCTTGCTCAGTACATGCTGGAGTGGGACTTCATAGCTGAAAACACAAATTATTAATGTCACTGGTAATGTTAAAAAATAAATATTTAAGGCTCTGTCTTGTTATGCACTTTCTTAACTAAGTTTATGAATATTCCCTTGGACATAAATGGGATTAGTTGTTGTTATGTTGAAGTCTTTGTAAACTAGGAAGAAAAAATGAAGTGTATTTCAAAAACACAGTTGTGATGATAATAAGGAAGAACATGTCCCCATTCTTGTCCAGTTTGTGTTACCAAATAAACAATAGGAGTATGCAGCAGATGGTGTGTGCAAACAATATTGAACCTTATCTGTGAGGGTTTTTGGGTGTTTTCATAATTAACCTGAATTACCCATCAATACCATCCTGAGTTTTAAAAATCACAAACTCCCAGCAGTTTTCCTAAGCAGTGTGCCAACCTTTCACCCCTTCCTAACTTTTTCCTTGGTGATCGTGGAGCAACAAATTGGCACCAGGATTGGAGCACGGATATTTTCCATACCCCATTAATGCCCTGCTTTTGTTGTGCTCACTGAGAATCTCCACAAACACATTGACCCCTGAGCTGCAGATGTGTAAGCTTTCAATGAAAGAACTTGTGCCAAAATCAATGTACAGGCCAAAACTGAACTAGAGAAGGACACTTGCAATTAGTAATGATCATATTTGAATTTCAGTAATAGAGGGTTGAATCTTCTTCCATTTAAATCAGTGGCACAATTCCATTTTAGATTTTGCTTTTTTTTGGAGTCAGCAAAATAGGCTCAGCTTTTGCCCAAACCCAAACCTAAATATGCCTAAAGCACTGCATAGCTGCTAATTAAAATTAACTACCTAAGACACTGAAATGCTGTATTTCATCCATAATAAGTTGATTCATTACAAGTAGAACATCCATTACTTAAAAATAGTCTTTGGAGTGTTTACAGTTGTATTTGTAATCTGCTTATTTTTTGTTGTTTCACCCCAAATCTAAAAGTGTACAAATCTAAAAGTTTCTTTATAGAATGTACAAGGAGACAGAGCTGTGAGAAATGTAAAGATTGTTTTGTGAGACTTGGAAAAAAAACCCCAAAAACAAAAAGAAAAAGCAAAACCTCACAAATTAATAATGAACCACAAAATATTTTTATCCCCCCAAAAATCCCCTTTTAATGGAAATAATTGATTTGAAAAAATCCCCCTGAATTCTTCAGTTACAGGATGACTGTTAACTCTAGCTGCTGATTGTATCATACATAGTGTGATACTGGGTTTGAGCCAGGTTCAAATAAATCATTTCAGGATAAAACAAATTCTTTCCTGGCCCATCCATTCCTGTGCCATTGGAATGCTCTCAGCCATTACACTGGACAGGAGCTGATGGCTTTTCCTGTGTTCCAGATAAGATTTATAAGCCTTTGGCTCATAAAGCATTTTTTGACAATTTCTATGTGCTTGCATCAACTTTTTCCATAGGAGAACGGCGAATTTTAAATAGGTGTGAATTTAACCGCTTTTTTATTGTTATAATTTGAGTTATATGACACCGTGTTAAGTCTTACAGGTCCTTCTTCTTGTCTATTGCAGAAATATCCTTTCCTAGCTTTTTGTTCGCCCTGTGCACAAAGCAGGATCCTCCTTGCCCGAGTGCAGTGGTGTTTGTATTGGGTCTGGAAGGCCATCTAGTGACACAACTGCGCAGGGGAAAATTAAAAGCCTTACTCGAATTGTGGTTTGGGTTTTTTTTTTTTCCTTACTTGAATTAAACAGTCTTGCTACACCCCAGCATATCCTTAGGGGTTTGTTGCTATTTCCACAAGTGGTATTTAAAAAAAAAATGGAGGAAATTTTTACTTTAAAACAAACTTACTTAGGATAGAGCACACTGCTAATTCCTCCCGGGAAAGAAATGTGGGGTTTTTTTGTGCTGAATGGTGGTGGATTTGCACCTGAGTGGGTCTGTCCAAAACTCAGTGTCACTCCCCTGACCTGTGCATTGGAACCAAACATAATCCAGCAGTTATGATCCTCTTCCAGAGCTGCTGTGATCCCCTGCGATCCACCAAAAACGCCACATGAAAGCCTGGGGCACCACATCCCTGCAATTAAAATGAGAAATTCCAGTTATTTTCATTGCAGCTCACCTTGGATGGTGAGCAGATGACGAGCGGAGCTGTCGGTTCTTTCCCAAGCAATAAATCGGTGGAAAACAAGCAGTGAGTCACTGGCCGTGCCAGCACCAAGGTTCCTTTCCGGGGGTGGCTCGGGGGTCTCTGCCTGCCCTCACCGCGCTCGGCCCTGCTCACACACCGGGGCCGAGCCGCAGCGCTCCCTCAGCGCCGGCCGCTTGGCGGGACCCAGCGCGGCGCTGGAGGGGCTCCCTGTGGGAACAAATGGCACGGGAATGAACGAATTAATAAATAAATGGGGATGGCGTGTGTGGGTGGAAGGGCAAAGGGCCGCGGGCCCGATGGTCCCGGGGGATGGAGCCTCGAGGGCCGCCCGGCGGGACGGGCGGGCGGAGCAGCCCCGGCGGCCCTGAGGGGCCTTCCCGCCGTGACCCCGAGCGGGCGCAGCCTGCGGGCGGCCGCGGGCCGGCGACGAGGCCGCGGCTCCGGGAGAGGCTCCCCCAGTGTCCGGGGGGGCCCGGGCGGGGCCCTGCGGCACCTGAGGCGGCGGCGGCCGCGGCGCGACCAATCCCCGGCGGGGCGAGGGCGGCTCTGCCCGCCCCGGGCGCGCAGGGGGAGCGGAGCCGCGTCCCGGCCGCGCTGCGCCCTCAGCGGGCCCGCTCCGCTCCCGCTCCATGGAGGGGGCTAACGGGGCCGTGCCCGAGGGCGCGGCTGAGCAGCCCCGCGGCCCCGCGGCCGCCCCGTCGGGCAGGAAGGAGGTGAAGGTGGTGATCGTGGGCGATGGAGGCTGCGGGAAGACGTCGCTGCTGATGGTGTACGCCAAGGGCTCCTTCCCCGAGGTGAGGGGCTGCCACCCCCGCGGGGCTGGGGGCCGCAGCCGGGGCCGGCCCCAGCGCTTGGGCCCCGCCAGCACCGCTTCTCACAATCACTGAGTCCATTGAGGTCGGAAAAGGCCTCTGAGATCATCGACATCCTTCTCCCTTTGCAGCAATACGCGCCCTCTGTTTTTGAGAAGTACACAACGAGTGTGACGGTGGGGAAGAAGGAGGTCACCCTGAACCTGTACGACACCGCAGGTAAGGGGTTCCACTTTCCTGCGAGGGCAGCTCCTGTGCGGCCACTGCGAGGGCAGCACTCGGGGACATTGGCCTGGGACTGAGCCCAAACCCGGCCCAGCCTTTCGTAACTTCAGGCAAATAAGCAGAAACTGTAAAGTGTTGCTCCTGTGAGCGCACGCACCCCAGTTCCTGTTCCAGCAGATTTTTCAGTGTCAGCTTAAATCAGCCCAATATTTGAAGACTGTAAAGTTGGACAGGTTTTCAAATTTCTTTTCTACCAGCATAGTTTAACCATAGCATTGCAGGTAAAACTGCTAGAGAGGAAAGTACAAACCAACCAACCACCATTACCTGTTGCATATCAATGTGCCTTCCAGAAAAAAAAGAATTGATTGTCTAATGTCAGTTCGGGTCATCAACTCATTCATTATCTTAACAACCCAATTAATTCAGAAACATCAAATAGCAACCATATCTGGAAGTATTAAAACGCAATTCCCAGATGCAAAGCATAATACAATGAACCAGAAAAACATTTTAATCTGCTGCCATGTGTGATTGAATAGGGAAGGAGAAAAAGGCTGGTTTGTGTTCAAAATCAAAAGGCTGTGGCAGTAAAAGTTATTTGAAAATGCTGATAGTTGTTCAGGTTCATTTGAAGAACTTGTGAAATGGTTTGTGTTCAACTTCACTCAAAGTTCCCAGACTCTGTTACCCAGCTGCTTTCCTAAATGAACCCTAAAATTGACACGTGCTGGGTTTCAGCTCAGTGTAAATCATCTGTTTCAGTTCAAGCCTGTGGAATTGTTCCAAATTTACACCAAGACAAATAAGAACCAAATGCAGTCCAGTCATTTTTAATAGTAATAAAACACACTTACCTTCTTGTATACTGCAAGTGATGGCTGAAAACATAATTTAAAAGGCTTTTAATCTAAAAGTGAATTTCACTGCTAACTTTTACTACACTGTAGTAAGATCCTGAGCACCCAATTTGTCAATGTGTCTTCTTGGGTCAGTGTTACTGTTCTAAGTCCATTTAGTTGGGATAACATACCTTTGACTGGATAGCAAGGGGTTTGGGTCTAAGAGGAAAAGAGAAGGACTGGAATTTGCTGTGAGCAACCAAAGAGGAATTTCCTTAATACAGGGTGTTGGCACCAAGAACCTGCTGCTGCACTCATGATTTTTATATTTGTTTGCTGTCAGTGTGGATTTTTTGCCTGCCACATAGTTGTGAGCTCTCATTTAAAATCCCCGTGCCACACATTCCAGCATTCGCCTTTGGAGTCTGTTCCAGGCTGTAAGGAGCAGGGGCTGGCTCCAGAGGTGGCAGTGGGCTGGGCAGGTCCAGCAGTGCAGCACTGAGCTCTCCTCAGCCTGGCAGGGGTGCACAGCTCCTCAAAACTCAGCCCTGCAGCCCCCAGAGCCCAGGGACTGCCCACTGAGCTGATGGCTCACTGCAGCATCAGGACACTTCGGGTGGGAAGGGACCTTTAAAATGAGTAAGGACACCTTAAACTAGATCAGGTTGCTCAGGGCCTTCTCCAAGCTGACCTTGGATGCTTTCATGGATAGAGCAGCCACAGCTTCTCTGGGCAGCCTGTGCCACATTGTGAAAAATTCTCCTTTATATCTATTGCAAATCTGCCCTCTGATAGCTTAAAACCATCACCCCATGTCCTGTAATTTCCCCGTTTATGCATATAACTGTTAGTGTGTCCCTTCCACATTGAATTCACAGCTGTAAAAACTGATTTGGACTAAAGCACTGCTCCACTGGAGAACAGTGGGGTGTATTTTGTGTCTTGTGAGACACTTTGGGAAGTGGAGCTGCCATTGTTGGTGTGAAAGAACAATTGCTTTCCATCTCTTTTCTGGAAACCTCGAAACCCAACATTTTTTACCTCCCAAAACAGCACCATGGCCACAAGGCTACAAGTTTCTTGAGGCTGTTGACACTTGTCTCCTCCCTTCCTGTTAAATTTCTTTTGCTTTCCATAAGACACAGCAAGAAAGAAAGCAGGGAGATTGTCACCCGGATTAAGACATTTAATTGGGAGGGGGAAAACCTGAATTTTGGTTCTATTTCAAAGCTGCTTACTTGGTTTTATGGTCCATATCTATAAACTCTGTCAAACTCTAATTCAAGCAGCTTTTCAACCTCTATCTGTAACTTGAAGTTTTGCTAGAGGAAGGACTCACTTGAGCACACATTTTAATCTCATCCTGTTTTTAGTAGTACAAAACTGATGTTGAGTTCCTTAAGGGTTAGACTAGCACCAAGAGTTGTGTATTTTTAGGATCTTGCTTGGAGCAACAGTAAATAGAGCTGGGTGTACTTCAGCATCATGGAAAGGTAAAGGACAGGTTCAGCTCCATGTTTAAAGTTGGAAAGATTCTTTGTATTGTCAAGTCCTGTGCAGCTCAAACATTTGATCTTGTCCTACTTACTGAGGGAGGAGGACACAAACAAAAAGCTTAAGAAACAAACATTTCAAGATATAAAAGGTATTCTTTGCTTGACAAGAATTTTGGTAACAAATGAACTTAATGGATTAGTCTAAAATGTACCAGAAAAATAATTTTTGGTGAGCGTTTTGTGCTGTGGTACTGTGTCTTCCTCATCAAACACTTCTTGCTGTTGCAGGAAGTTGGTGGTACACATATGCAATGTGTAAAGGCTTTGTAACATCACTTGTCTGTCTGCAAACAGCCTCTGCAGCTGCTTTTTCAATTAAAAGGTTCCACTTCCAGCTGTGCTTGGCAGAGGCAGAGGCACTGGGAGGTAAATGAACTCTGTGGTTTTTCCATGCCAAGGGGGCAGTGTTGATGCCCGAGGCGCAGTTCAGACGCGAGGCTCAATTCCTGGTGCAGCAGTTTCTCAGAGCAGAGAGCAGAGCGCTGCTGGGCTGGGGAGGAAGTAATGCCTCATCATTGTGGCTGCTTGCTGTGCCTGACAGGAAGCACATGCAAGGCCTCCAGAGAGGTTTTTCAGGTCTCTGATGACAGAAGCACAAGGTCTTCAGAGAAATTTTAAAAGCCAGAATTCTTGAATGCAAGAGTAATTTCTCATAGCTTCGACAGGAAGTCATGCCTGACTAAGACAAAACCCCCAATTTTTTAATTGATGGGTGCCCCTCCTCCCGCCCCAAGTGTCCTCTTCTACCAATTTTTTTCCTGCCAAGAATGTCCATTTTGCAATTTGTTTTAAACTGAATAGGGAAAAAACATAACTGGCAAGCAGCTCACAGGCTGGCACTTCTTTGGTGGTGCATGGGCAAAGGGGTGAGGAAGAGCAGACAGATGTGAACATGCACATGAGACTGAGACCTGTGGTTTCACTTCTCCTGTTCACCCTCAGCCACCACCAGAGCTCCCTCCCCACCACAGGGCCTGGCTGCAGTCGTGTGGTTACACAGCATCTCCCAGAGGCACGCAGAGCCCTGGGAGCTTGGCAGTTTTAGGTGAATTCAGTTGGGTGGAGTTTTTTCTTTAAAAAAACCCAAAGTCTCTGTTGGTACAATGAATCAAGGAAGACACAGGGGTCACAGATGTGCTCACACGTAGGCAGATACTTAACCAACTCCTCCACAGCATGTTTTGTGTTAAATGCAGAAAGAAAAGAGCTACCTGTGTTTGAGGAAGCACACACAGGGCTTTGCATAGACATTCAGTTACTGCTTAGGTTTACCTCTGTTCCTCCTTTTTAAAACTCTTAGAAAAAAACCCTAAATCTCTGCCAAATTAGCTCTGACCGCAGACTGAGCAGCTTTACAGAGAAAAAAAGTCTCCCAGGCCCTTTCTTGCATTTCACCAGCAGCACTTGAGGACAGGGGGTGAAAGGGATTGTTTCCAGAGAGGGGGATGTCTATGTTTAGATACAGTTTGGTCTGGGTCCCGTTACATCCTCAGCAGCTGAGGAGCTGCATCTGAGCTTCTAAAGAGCAGCTTCCTCCTCCTTCCCCGGGAGTGCTGCAAGCACCCAGCTGTAACACAGGTTAAGCAATTGCCATCTCACCTTCCCCTTCTGCTCTCTGCACCCCACCCTGTCCTGCACTCTGTATCCAGCATTCCAAATGCACACAGAGCTGTGTTTTACACAGCATTTTCTCATGTGTTTATTGTTTGCTTTAAAAGCCATAACTGCAAATGGATTTGAAGATGAAGGAGCAGTTCACCAGGGCATATCTATAGTTTTTGACCTGCAATACAACATATTGTGTCACGTTTAAAGACTCTTTTTCTGTTATCCCATCCAGGAGAGTGTGAATTTAGAGGTTTGTTCAGATTCCAAGTAAATAAACATGTTTCTCCCAAAGGGACAGCCCTGTCTGCCTCACCAATTGCCAACAACAACTCAGAGAACCTTTTAATTTTCCAAGTTATGTTATTAGAAACTCAGAGGCTTGAACTTCAACAAGGAAAACTTTACACAGAACTAGAGGAAGTTAGGAGGAAAAAAAAATTGGCATCTGATGTATTTAATGCATTTAAGGGATTATCTCAGCAACAAAATGGCAAATTGGTTACAAACAAGTAGATGGTTTGGGAGAATAAGAAGGGATAAGCAGTACAGTCTTTGCTCTGAATGTTTATACAACATGCATAATTTTGTCAATTGTGTATTATTTCTGGATTAAACCCTGAGATATCAATCCCTCTTTGTTCTGCACCTCCCCACAGAGCCCACGGCTGTTGTGGAAGCTCAAATACAAAATGGTCCAAGTCCAAGATTCCCATTGTACAAACATCTCAGGCAAACTGAGTAATGGCTTATTCAGCAGGGATAGCCTTGGAATAAAGTGTATCTCAACCAATCATTTAAATTAAGGGAGAAAAATATTGTATAATAATGGCCTTCTAATATCTGCAGTTCTTCAGACTGGAGACAAAAATGTTGGCAAGTGATGAGTACATGACTTTGGACTGAGGCAGGTGCCAGAGCAGGAATTGTTGCTGTAAAGTTGGGGCACACTGAAATTTTCTGCATTCCTTCATTTGAAATATCAACATGAAGATTTGAGTTGTGGGACTTCCCTGTAGGGCAGTTTCTGTCTGTGGATTGTGGTGATGGTGGGAAGGACCAGCATTCCCAGTTCTCCTCGTGGAAATTCAGTACATCACAGACACGTGCCTGATTCCAGCATTCAGATGACAAATACACCTTCTAAAGACTGCTTGAATCATGCTTTCTTCCTTATTAAATGAAAAAGATTGGGTTTTTTTCCTGAGCTGCCAGCTGTATCTGGGAATTATGGCTTTCTTGAACTTAATCTCTCAAAGCAAGACACCTTCAGACCCTGGCATGGTGATTACTGTAAGGGGAAGAGTACAGGTCTGAAGCAAATCAGCTTCCTCTTGTCACATCATGTGCTAGAGTATCCCTAATCAGAAGTATGACAAATCCCCTGCTTTTCCAGAATTCAGGAGAATTCCCTCAGATCTGCTGGGGAGTCCTGCTTCAAAGGCCAAGTTAAGCCTGGCTCATGCTGCAGCATGGCTTGTACAATCCTGTGTGTAATCACTGCTTCCTCTCAGCTCACCAGGCTGGGAAAAGCAAGTTTGCCACTAAGGTTTCTACTTCACCATTCCTGTCTAGGAAATACAGTGTTTCTTTTCCTCACAGCATCACATGTGCAAATGATTATGGGGACTGCCACTGTCAAACTGAAAATATTTAATAATAATTGTCATATTCCTCTTGATGACTTTATTTTTGAGCAGCAACTTGGCAGTCAGTGTTTAGAACTGCTTCTAAGTCCTCAGCAAGTGGACAAAGCAGGCTTTATATTAAAACCTGCCAAGGATGTGTTCTGTGTACTAAATCATCAATTTTGTCAGTGAGGGGGAATCTCCTGTACTCAAGGGAAGGAATTTTGCAAGTATGAAATTATAGTACCATTGTTTTTGATCTCCAGAATGTGTCTGTACATATCCCCATTGCTCTGCTTGCTCAGGACAGAGATTTCTTCATCCAAACCATCCTGTGTGTTTCAGGGCAGGAGGACTACGATCGGCTGCGGCCGCTTTCTTACCAGAACACCAACGTTGTGTTAATTTGTTACGATGTCATGAACCCCACTAGCTATGATAATGTAGCAGCCAAGGTAAGAGGCTTCTAAATGAATTACACATGCCTGATATATGACAAGATGTCAGATTAGAAATGCTGGTGCTTTTAGTGTCCTGTACCCTGGGTGTGTGGGTGCCCAGATCACTCATCCTGCACTGAGCTGCAGGTCACAGACCTTAGACCTGGGGCTCACCTCTCCATGGCTCCTAAGTGCTCAGGACCGGGGTTGACTCTCGCTAAAAAGATCAAACACCAGCAATTAAATCACTTCTTTATCTGTAGAAATGTCACACAACCAACATTGCACATCTTAGAGGCAAGACTACTTCCATCACGTGCGTATTTATTTGCAGGGGAGAGATGAGAGCAACCACTTCTCTGTGCTGGGATTTTGTAACATTCCAAAGCATTCTCAGACATAGCACCAGGAAAACAAAGCAAGGCTTAGTCCAAATTCTGTTTTGAAATGTGGCTTTAGAAGAGCTCCTCAGAATTTAAACAGATGGTAAATAAACATTTTGGCATAGAGACAGATGCCACTATGTTTTCATAAAGCAGCTGACTTTGGGTAGGACTTTTAAACATTTCTGGGATGTAAATAGTGCATGCTGAGCCCCCCCCCCCCCCACTAGACTAACTCCAAAACTCTAAAATTGCAACTTATATTAAATGCTGCTTTGTCTGTATTGTTTTGATTTCAGGAAACAAACGACAAAATAAAAACCAGATGTAAAAGTTTTGTTTTCCTTCCCCCAGTGGTACCCTGAAGTGAACCACTTCTGCCGGGGTGTCCCGCTCGTGCTCATCGGCTGCAAGACCGACCTTCGGAAGGACAAGGAGCAGCTGCGCAGGCTCAGGGCTGCCAGGCAGGAGCCCATCACCTACAACCAGGTAAACCTCAGTGCTCCTACAGTGGTGGCCTCTTGGCAGGAGATAAAGCACCTGATGGCATTGCTCCTCACAGCTATGATGATCACAGACACTGCAAAATTAGGGGGTCCAGATCAAGAAATGGTTGGCAGCACTAACAGAGCTTTCTGTAAGTTGTTTTTGAAAGTGGTCAAATCACCACCCATTTTTAGTGCCAAAGTAAAGAGAAATATGAGCAGTTTTTAAAGGACACAACTATCTGCCTTCTATGCTAATGACATCTCATTCTTCTTTCACAGCTGGGTTATTACTGTTGCAAGTTTGTAAGCCTTAACAAGTTTGCTGGACTTCATAATTGTTATTAGCTTACATTGCAGCCATCACTGGTGCTTTGGTCAGTACTGTGATAAAGACTGGAGATGTTAGGAAACCCATTCCAGTATGACTCTTCTGGAATAAATGTGTTTTGCAAATCCCACTTAAAAATAAATCCTTTCAAGGCCAATAGCAAGAACATCTGCAAGGTTTCTCTGACATGAGAGACTGTTCTTTGAAGTCTCTAAAGTAATCTTAAGAAAACTACATATCATCAGTATCTCTAAGTATTATGAAGCAGTTAGATTTATGAGTAGTGTTATGTCACTGGCATAGCTGTCCTAGGTACAGGAGAAACAGTGATGGAACAGCTTGTTCCATGTCACACAAGACCTTTCTGCTCTGGTCCTCCAATTTTTCTTTTTCTTTTTTTCTAAACTACAAAGCCATCCTTCTCCTCTCACCTCAGAGCAGGAACAGCAGCTTTCAAACTGACACACACGTCCAGGGAACAGGGTCAAGTGCACTACGACCTTGAGTGAATCACCACTTCTTCTAAACAGCAGGAAAATAAACTGCAACTGCATCACCACAAAACCATGCTGGGCCTTTTACTTTGCCTCCTTTGCACACAAGATGAGGTCCCAGCCTGTCACTGTGAACAGCTGCAGATTGTCCCTTGTTTGCATGAACAAATCCCTTCATCATCCTCACATGAGAGGTTCCAGGCAAGCAACAGACACTTCTGGCCAGTCTGCTGAGGCCTCATGCAGTTAAACTCAAGGACCCACATGTTATACAAACTTTGTCTCCTATGTGAGCCCTCCCAGTTGGTTTTCCCTCCCTGAAATATGCTCTACCTCAGTTTTTTACAGCTGATGGCACCTTGGGCCACACGATGTGATGCTTCCCATGCCAGGCACAGGGGATCTGAACAGCATCTGCCACCACTGCAGCTTGCAAACAACTAGAAGGAGACAAACTGCTTAAATATGAAGAAATACCCTCCCCCTCCAATAAAAGCCCAAGTGACCCCACTCCCAGAGATTACAATGAATAATTGCAGAGTCTGTGAGCCATGGGCTGCAGACATGGAATTCACAGTAAAAGGCTCACGAGTCAAACCTGGGGGCTGGCTCTGCAGGAACAATAACAGGATCACAAGTAAGAAATCACTGTGCTTTGTCTGTAGTGATTTCACACAACCAGCATTGCATGGAAATATTTTAGATTCAAGCATGTTCCCATTGCATGGCTGAGAAATGCAGGCACCCCTTTGTTTTTATGAGGATTTTGGCTGAGTCCTTGTGATGCTTCAAAGCAAAAGTCAAGGTTCCTGCATGTGCACCAGCAAAACAAGGCAAGGCATCAGTGCAGATTCTGTCCTTGCATGTGACATTCATTACTAAAGGTGACATCACAGAATAGTTAAAGTCAGGCCTGAAAAAAATATCACCACAAAGACATCCTCACTTAAGTAACTACCTCAGCATTTAGAGTAAAGAAATTCAATACTGAGAATATTTTTGTGCTATCAGGACTCTGCATCTCAAGAGCCTCTAATGCTCGGAACTCTTAGGCCAGGCTTTGGTTCAGCAGAGTGGAAAAACACCAAGTTTATTTACAGTGCTTCAGTTTATTACCAATGCCACTCACACTCTAGCACTGCACTCAGAGGCAGCTGCTTTCTTCAAGACTGCAAAGATGGACAAATTAACTCCCTTTCTTCCCAACTCACCTTCCTTCACTCATCACCAAAATTACATCTTTTCTTACCTTTCTGTTCTTTCCAGGGTGAGGCAGCTTGCAAGGAGATTAATGCACAAATTTACCTGGAATGCTCAGCAAAATGTCGTGAGAACATAGAAAATGTTTTTAAAGAAGCCACAACCATTGCACTGAGTGCCATGAAGAAAGCAAAGGGCCACAGGAAACAGAAAGTGTGCTCAGTGTTATGATCTGGACTGCATGAGAGCCAAGTGATTGAGATTTTAGAGAAGTTTCACTTTAAAAACTTTTTAAAAAAAACATGTTTGTATTCCTAGGATAATTTTTATTTTGAAATTTTAATTATTTTTAGTATTTTTTGCACTTTTGTTACACTGTTCTCACAGAGTTTTCAAAGCTGTTTATCACAGTTAAATCATGCTGCGTGCCTTCACCCATCTGGCTTTTGCTTCTAAGTGTGAACAACTCACTATTTAAACTGCAATGAACAGCAACTGCTACTATATAACTTAGTGTTGGGGTTTTTCTTTCTCTGCAAAATAATTGTGGCATGTTAGAGCTACAATTTACTGCCTTTTTCCAGTAGACAACTCACATCTTTCAGAAGCAATGTTAAAGCAGCTTATCAGGCAGAAGAAGAGACAGAAGAAGTTTTGTATTAACATTTTCAAGGTAATTTCTTGGTGGCAATGGCAGGAGTTGGCCTCAAGCTGCCCCCTGAGTGCAAATGGAACATCCACCACCCCCTGGAGCAGCTCTGCAGACTGCACCTCAGAGTTCTTCAATGGAATGGAATGTGCCATTTATCAATGGAAATACATCAGTTGCTCCAATTAAATAATGGAGTATCATGGGAAGCAGTTAATTTACAGCACTCAAATTTAGAAGTACTCCAAGCAGCTACTACATGTAATGTTAAGTCAGTCTTGTGATAAACATTTACAGCCTATTTAATACAAGACAGATGCAAATCGTGGTGCACACTGGAGGAAAAATTAATTCACTTGTGAAATCATCTCTGCTGGTATAAATTAAAATTTTCCCTTTTGTGATGAAGGTGTCAGTTGTCTAAGGACCAGGCAGGCTCCCACTGCACACCCTGGTCCATGTGCCTCCTATCTCCTGGTTTTTCTGCACATCCCCTCACTGAGATCTGACTGCAGGAACAATCCCTAGTTTGTACTCATCAAGAACCAAAACTGAGAGAGGAAATGTGGTTCCTGCAGTACAGCTGTTGCTGAAAGCTTTCTGTGTAAGGCAAACTGTACATGACCAGCTGGTGCAAACCTGTTTTGGAGCAAGCCACCATTATTATTTTACATGCAGGTAAACAGGTCTTGACCCTTGAAAAATATTTTTTTTTCCTAACTTGTTTTGATTTAATTAAGATTTTTGAATACTTGTGAGCCTAAAATGGGAAATTAAATTAATTGGAAGTTTGTGCACATCCTTGACTATAGAACAACCTTGAAGAATTGTGCAGCCTTTTCTCTACTTGTCACTAAAAGAACCACCCCTCACCTCACTCAAAACTGAAACACCAACGTTCAGAAAGTGACCCATTCACCATCAGCTCCACAGTAGAAATCTCTCTGGCTTTTTTAATCTGAGTTTCTCAGGTTGCAGAACTCACATTATTCACCCCTGCAGAACAAGGTTCCAGTTTGCTCTCAACAGACAATAATTTAGATCTCATAAACTGAGAGTTCCAGGAGTAAAACAAAAAAACCTTACAGGGTGTGTAAAAGATAGCAAAACACAGCCCAAGTGGTGTGAAAACTGTTGAAATTATGCAAATTGGAGTTTATTGTTCATGCCCACAGGACAGTGACACAGCAAAGGTAATTTCCCTAGCTTGAGCCACAGAAGTGATGACTCCATCTCAAGGCTGTGGTGCATTGTCTGTCCCCTGTGAGCACCCTCTGGGGAGGAGGGCACTGATTGCCACTCACACTGCCACAGGATGTGCCCAGTTTGGGCTTTGTGCTGGCTTTCACTGTTGGGAAAGACACAGCCCAAGCCAGCTCAGTGCTGCAGCTGCCTGAGGAGGCACAGAAGTTACAGCAGCCAGAAAAGGTGTTCCAATGAGTGAGTGTAAATTCAAGCAGCACAAGGACTTTGGCAGGGTAGCAGTCAGTGTTTGCCCCTGCCATCCCCTCGACCCAGCATTTCCCTTCTCTTCCTTATTGGTACAAGTGCAGCATCTAAAGAAAGTATTTAATATTTGAGCTGAGCCTGTCCTCCCCTTTCCAGAACCATGCCTCAAAAATCAACCCAAGGGCTTGTTACTAAAAAAGGCAGAGGCAGTTGCATATTGAATGGTTTATTTTAGATTCTTTCAGGCCCGGACAAATGACCTGGTCTCCCTGGAAAAGGGCTAGCAGACTTCCCTGCCATTTAAAAACTGCTTTTGCTTGCATGATTTTGTTTTCAAAGGAGGAATTCCTCTTCTTTAAATAGCTTTTTAGAAGTGTATATAGCAGCAGTATGGTACAAAGATGAGTATTTTCTTTTCACAGTACACACAGGTTAGTATTGCCACTGAGAATATGCCTTCAACAAATGCCTTGAAAAACAGCATTCATTCTGTATTACTGATCCACCCAGAGTGTTCATAAAACTCAATAAATTCAATACCCAGAATTTAAATAATAAAACTGCAAAGTGTCAGGTATCATTCCAGAATTGGAATTACAGTAGATCCCACATTTTCCCTAACGCTGGCAGGTGCATGCTGCTCTATATACAGAACAAAAACCCCAGAAGCAAATACATTTTATATTAAATATACATAAATAGCAGGAGTGTGACTGGAGAGCCATGCTTGCATTAATACTGAGTCTGTGCTGGCAGAGTCCTTTACCAAGCACGGGGACAGGCGAGTCCTTCCGAGCCCATCCGTGGCCTGGCTGGGGCTGAGCAGGGTCTGTCCCACACCAGCCCTGCTGGGGGCACAGCCATGGATGCACACTGGCAACAGGGGCAGTCACAGCTTCTTCACCTTGTCTTTGTTCTTCTGCAGTTTAGTGTGCACCACCTTGAGAGTAGTGAGGAAGTTCCCGAGGAACAGCAGCAGGAATGTGAAAGCCAACACCAAAACCTGGAAGGGAAGAGGAAGCAGCATTTATTACCTAGTGATATTACAACATGGATTATATTCAGCACTGCTGGGCTCTACCAGACACAGAACAGGCTCTGTGCTGCATTATCCTGAGATATTTCAATGGAATCAGATTCCCAAATATCTTTCAGGATGTGGTCAGGCACCCCCTCTGCCCTGCTCTGTGGTTCTTCTGAGCAGAGCCAACACACACCTGCCATTCTTTGCATTCCTTGTGCCTTGACAATCTGAAAAGAGTGATTGCATTGTATAGCTGCCAGAACTGCAGAGGGGAAAAGAAAAAAGGCAATTTAATTATGAGCAAAAAGAATTAAGCCTTGGAAACGTTTGTCATGGCTGTGTGTGATCCAAAGCACCTTTGGGTGGTGCAGCAGCAGACACTGCAGCGCAGAGGGAGGAGGGGATCACCCAACTTACATGCCCAAAGAACAAGAAGGGAAGGAGAAACGTCAGCCCCCGCCACATCCAGGACTGGAATCCTTCTGGAAAAGGTTGACAGAAGAGGCAGAGGGTGAGCACAGAAGAGCCAGGACTGAACCTGCAGCTCCTCCCCACCCAGATCACCCCATAAGGGCTATTCCTATCGAGTAAAACTTGTTTGAAATTGCAGTAGTTGGAGGAGGATAAAGTTAGGGATGACCAAAACCTCCATCTCAGTCTCCTCAAATGCTGACAAAAGTCAGATTCCTCTGCTCCTGGCCTACAGGACCTGAGGAGGGGGATAAAAGTCTCACTGCCCTTCCTGCCTTGGGACACAGGCAGCCAGGCAGGGGACAGCTCTGCAATGTGGGGGCACACAGCCCTCTCCCTCCCTATCACTGCACCCAAAACCTGTGCAAAGAAAGCACAGCAGGAGACCTCACCTACTGTAAGGTCCAAGTGGTTTCTCTCCCCCAAAGCCCGGAGCCTGTAGAGGCAGCCCCTTTGGTAATAATACTGTAAGAACTGAACACAGCCTGGAGAAGGAGAGAGAAAACATCACTCCATTGGTTATTCAGAAGTATGGTAAGCATCAAACTACTTTAATAATATTTAATCCAACAGCATTTAATTATTGCTTATATTTGTAGATTGCATATTTGTATACAATCTTTATATTCCTACAGTTTAATATTCCAGTATTTACCAAATGAAAGTGTTTTCTTCTAAGCACATATGACACAAAATGACTTTACCCCCTGAATTAGCAAGGTAAGATATACTCACTCTGAAATATTGAAAATGCTAAAAATTGACTGCGAAACATCTGATACATGAGTCCATCGGGCCTGGAAGCAGAACATGGGGAGTTCCATTAATCTGCTAAAAGCATCCAATGCATCCAACCCTTCCCCTTCACCACCAGGCCCGATGCCATTAGCAAACGAAGCAGCAGCTGGTGCCCAGCCCATTCCACCCACTGGGAGCCCAGAGAGGTACTACAGCCACACAGAAAATGCTCTCATTGATTAGGTTTCCCCTCTTTAACAAGGATAAATGCTGTCCCCTCTCATCCTTTATCACAGTTTTCTCCAGGCAGCAAAGCCATTTCATCCTTAATCAGTTTTCTCCAGGCAGCAAAGCCATTCAGCATCATCTGCATCGAGATTCTGCAACAGGGGGTGGTTGTGCTGCTTATCCTGAGGGCAGTTCAGGATAGATGGAGGGCAAGGACTGCCTGCCCCAGCCACTGTCAGACCCTTACAGATTCAGGAGAAGCTGTTGTTTTAAAACAATTTTTAATAATTAATTCATCAGTTCATGCCCAAGTTGAGACAGGCTGCACAGGGAGTGCATCGGGGGTTGTCTGACCACCACCACCCTCTGCAAGGGGGTAACTTGAATTTTTGGCATTAAACTCTCTAATCAAGGCTCACTAAAGGCACCAAACACCCATTTTGTGCTGTCCTTCCTCTATAGCAAAGTGCTGCTTGTTTCCTTAAGTACTGAGACAGAAACTGGGAGACTTGCAGAGATTTTGCTATCACCAGCCCAACTACAGCCACAGGGTTTGCATTTCTTTCCTTTTTCTTTAACCAGCAATGTAAATACAAACTTACAGTGTTGTATTTATCATTGAAAACATCTGTAACATCAAACAAATATTAAGGCTGACACGCTGCCATACGTCCTGTGGCCACAGCTTCATGGTCACACTGGATTTAAAGGCTCAGATGATGTAAACACCATGAAACAGGCTTGAAGCACCTCGAGCAGGCAGGAGCAGACTCACCACGTTAACATCACTCCAGACAGGAACGTGGAAACATAGTGATGAGACACCCACCAGCCTTTGATCCTGAGAAGTAAAAAACATGGCAGTTAGACAAGAATGGATTTCAGCATTGCAGTCCAGCTTACAGGCAAAAAATGATCCAAAAATGGGAACAAAGCAGATGTCCTAACTCAAGCACAAGGGATGCTGTGGCATTTCCAACCAAAGATGTGTTACCTCTAACACAAGGCAGAACACACACTCCAGACCACATCTACACCCTACAGCTACCAAAACCAGCCAACACCTTGGACCACTAACTTGGGGACTATTAGGAACTGCAACTGCTCTCTCCCCAAATCTCAGGTGCCCCTGGAAGTGACCAGGGAGGAGGAGAGAGACAAGAGACTCTGCAGAGAGGCCATCAGCATCTCAGATTTGCTGGGCTTCAGTGCCAGGCTGAATCCCTTTTTGTTGCCTGGTTTTCTGTAAGGACATTTCATGCTTTCCTGGTTTTTGAGGGTGGCACTGTACCTTGAGCCATTGCTAATGAGAATGCTCTCCCGTATCGTCAGCGTGCAGTAATACCACACCAACAGAAAGTTAAACACTTCATCTGTCACCCTGTTAAACACAAAAACCACAGAGTAAAAAACCCTCTTGTTAATTATAAAGACGCATTTTAAAAACCCCTATTTTTCCTAGATGAAAACCTGCCCAGGTGAGGCTATGGACTCAAAGTCCCATCCTGAACATCTCTAACCCACATGCAGCACTGCACACAGGGGCAGCACTGCCAGGCTCCAGCCCCTTTTACCCTGGGATCCAACACTGCAGATCCTGAGCTGATAAGCAGGTATGCAGGGATGACATTAAGTGCTGCTCAAGGAGAGAAAGCACCACAGAAGCAGCAGATGATCCAATTTAGAGAGGCCTTTCCAGGCTAATTCAATGAGGAGATTCCATGAGATCTATATCAATCCAATCAACTAAAAGAATGGAAGAGCATTATGCTCTGGAGCAAAGAAACCAAAACACCAAAACTTTGTTTTGCCATTTGCAAACTCCTGAAGCCAAGGGGACTTGGGGCAGCCTCTGTACAGGGCAGCATCACTCCTGGTACAATCCTGCATTCACTCAGACACACAGAGACCACAGTGGAAGTGCATGGCTCCAACACCTTCCTGGTTTTTAAGCAAAATGATAATGGAAGCTTGTTGGTGCTCAGAGGCTTTATCACAACCTAGAGGTAATGTTTCAAGTTTGATTATTTCACACAAATTCTCTTTTGTTGTTTTTGTTACCCCAGAGCTGCAGCACACTGTTGGTCTCTGCCTGGGACAGCCCACAAGTCCAACCAGCTTTGTTCCCAATGACAGCACGATGCCAGAGTAACAACATCAATTTTTAGCATCATCAGGAAATGTGATGTTGGACTTTCCTTTTGAAAAGGAAAAACAATTGGCTAAAATACGGCTCCTGCCAGAGTTGAAGAAGAGCAGGTGTCCTGCTGCCCAACTGCTCAAAGCCTAAACAGCACCTGAGCTGTCTCACTGTCCTTAACAGTGCATAAGAAAAGTCAAACTCAGCACAATTTTATGCACAACACTTGATAAGAAATAAAAATGCATCTTACCTGTAGTGGAGAAAACACCTGCAGGCAACAGCCCCCAGTAACAAGATTATTGTCAGATAAAGTTTGAACTTCTCATACTCGTCCTTGTAGGCAAACCTGGAAGGAAACAGGTGCCATTTGTGGACACAAACAAATGTTTGACTGGAACGTGGCTTCATCTTTCAAACCACATACAAAGCCAAATATCAAGCCCAGAGACAGAGGTTTTGCTGAAACCCTTAGAAAAGCAGTGGACAGTGGTGAAAGGCAGTGTTCTGCCTGCAGGGAGGGTCTGTCTCAGCTGCAACACAATGCCCTAAGTCCATCAGAGCTGGTTTCTGGGTTGGCATGACAAGATTTTAAAAATATATATATATCTCCATTTTCTGGAGCACTGTATGCCTAGAAGTCACAGTACCATTTTTCAGCACAAAAAAACTCCAAACACTTTTACAATTAAGGCCACAGGCTGAGCTGGGCTTAAAAGCAAGCAATAAATTGAATTAATTGGAGCTACATAAGATGTCAGCTCATCCCCATGTCATAGTCCAGTCACCCACCCTCAACATTTCACTTATCAGGTCTAAGAGAAACCCATTCCCTCTCTGGGCTTCAGTCCACACCCACAGCTGGCCCAGAGAAACCCCAACTCACACACGTGGGGAGGCTCACTCACTTTGCCTGGTTGCTCAGGAGAGTGACATTCACATTTCCCAGCACCAGATTTAAGTACAGGCTGGAAGACAAAAGCCAAGAGCAGACCCAAGTAAGTTGTTTTATTTGAACACCACAGGATGATCTAGAGCGAGGTGATGAGACAGTGGCTCTGCCAAAGCCACGTTTGCTGGAGGTTTTCAGTTAATACAAACTGGAGGGAAATACCACAGAAGAGGCTTTACACATGGAAATATGGGTCAGCATTTCTAGGAAGTTACTGAAAAGCCTTATTTTCCTGGTCCCTTTTTTGCACTACAGTCTAAGGGCAATATATGTAGTATGCACTGGCCAAACCCAAACACAGGGAGGATTTGGAAGAAAAGTTTCTGTTAGAAACTTCTGAGGGGCTGCAGCACCACACAGCCCTTGACAACTGATATAACTCTGTCCTAGCAACCCTGCTTGAAGCAAAAGTTAAAATTGGTTAAAAATATTATTTTAAAAAAGAGAAAAGTCTTGTTCTGATTCAGCCCTCAAAAAAATTAGCCCAGGAAAACATCATTGTGGAACAGTGAACTGCACAATCCCTTGCCAGTGCAGGTTACTGTCATTTTAACAGAAAACCTGCACTGCCCACACACATTTACATCCACTCACAGCTAATGAATTCTGTGTACAACTGACACAGCAGCTCAGCAAGAGATTTATGACTAATCCAATTTTACATGTCTTTCTTCAACCTTTTCCTTCAGGAACAAAGAGCATTGCTGTGAACATTTAAAAATCCAAAATTCCCTGAGCACACGAGCCTCCCTGGTGGAGCACATACCCATTCCTCTTGGGCAGGTAGGCTTCCATGTCAAAGAAGGCATTCTGCCTCTCCTTGATCTGGCTGCTGATCTCCTGAATGAGAGCAAACTCCTCCGGACTCGCTCTGGGCTTGCACCTGCAAGAACACAGAAACAAGATATTCCTGTTCATGTTTTCACCTCCTTTTTATTTGAAGGAAAATAATGCTGTCATAAAATCCAGGCTGTTAAAAAGCTGGCTCTGGGAACCGATGCTTTGCTCCTGTATTTCTGAGGAACCATTTGGCTTATCACGACTTTATTTCACTGCCAGGTTTATGCTGCTGTAGGTTACTTCAACCAGTTGGTTTATAAATCAGCTTCTCTTTCCAGCAGCTCAGTGACAGGATTGCATGGGAATATTGTGTTTTTCTGAAGGAACTCCCTCCACCCTGGGAACTCTGTGCGTGGTTTCAGGCACTGCCCTCGCAGAGGCTGCAGCTCTTCAGGTATGAAGTATTTCAGGATGTAACAGGACACAGAGCTGATGATTTACTGACAAACTGTGGTTTTAGTAATTAATGTTAACCAGAGAGCAGTGAACAGCAGAGCCAGCAGCCTGTGGTGTCAGAGGTGCTGCACACAAGGAATTCAGCCCATGGCTCCTGGGATCAGCCAAGCAGCCAGGGACAGTTCCCTCCTGTAAATCCACCCAGGAGCAAGTTATACCTTCAGGTTCAAGGACTGGTGTTGCTCTTCCAGTGCAGTTTACAGAGCAAAGAATTGCTCACCTGGCACAGCCAGAAGCTGCACAGCCCTGCAATACACAGCACGCACTGCAAGGAAGAAACCCACACCAGCTCCCTTAAACTTCTTTATTTACAGGACTCCCTCTCTCATGCAGTAATGAACACTCTACTTGGCTGTAATATGGAACAACTTTAGCACTGCAACATAGATTTTCTAGTAAAAGTACTAAAAATCCAAGCATTTCAGCCCTTGGGAAGGAGAACTATCCCATCTCTGCCTCCTCCACCCTCCTGTTACCGTTGCAGGCTGTGCTTCAGATCCCTCAGTGTCTTCTTCTGCCGCTGTATGGAGCTGCTGCAGGCTGTCTGCAAGCTGGTGACTTCTTCCAGTTTCTGCCTGTAAACTTTGTGTGTTTCCTGCAGGAGAAGAGGAGATGGTTGGTAGGAAGAGCCCTCCTAGGTTATTTGGTCCTCACCTCCAAGGGAAACCAGGAAAATCCTGGTTTTATGGGATACAACAGGCACCCCTTTAACAAGCAAGAAGGGGAAGATGCCAAACCAGTACAATAGGGCGTAAATGGACACTGATGAAATTCCTACAAGAGGAAAAGCATCCTCTACACTCATCTCATTGCCTCTTTAAAGAGCTTTCCCACTCAGGAGCTTCTCACTCCCATCCCAACCTGCAATGAAGCCCCTAATCCTTGAATCCCCTAATCCTCCATTTGATCCTGATCCATGCCCATCAAATGGTGGCTAAATCACAGAGCAGTCACTCCAATTTCACAGCCAGATTAAATCTTGGAGAAAATAAGTGAGGACCTAACAGAGTGGGGGAGGGAAGGGAAAGACACAGCACCAGCCATAAATCCATGGCTGAGGGTTTATGCACCTCCCGGCCATCGCTGCCATCCCAACCCCACGGATATTCAAGCAACCTACTGCCCCATATTCTGGTTTAAAGAGCTGAACTGATGTCCCTGCCTGTGGCCTCAGATGCTCCCTGGGAGGAGCTGCTTTATCACAGCTCATTGGTCCCCTGAAGCCCCCAATTAGTGCTCAGCCATAACGAGGACAACCAACTGCAAACCCATTGAGAGGAGCCTCTGCTCTCATCCCTCCCTGCTCTTGGCTCTGCTTTTCCACCCTTTGCAAGGATTTCACTCCTTTCCCCATGAGGGAGGTCTCAGGAAGGGCTCTCCAAGCACCAAGCAATGAACTCTGAGCCAATTTTAAGACCTATAATGAGTTGGAAAAAGAGTGTGCAGAGTTAGTGCCAAGAGACAGTGTGGGTTACACGGCTGCTTCACCGACCAGCACACCAAGAACCACAGGAAATTCCCACCGCTCTTCCCAGAGCATAAACATGGTGGTGAAACCACACAAACCAAACCTCTGCTCTCCTCCCTGCTAGGACCCACCTGGTAGCTGCTCTTTATTTACAAGATCAATCCAAAACAAGCTCCAGTGTCTGATTTAAAGACCTTAATAACCAAACTAACCCCGTACGGCACTGTAGCTCTCACTGTTTCAGGCTTACTTTGGTTTTGCTGAGCACACCTTTATAGCACTAATCCTGACACCTCAGCTGCTGCCACCCCACCAAAAAATGTTTCTACTTTGCTTTTCCAGGTGGGGAAACTGAGGCAGGGACAATCACTGACATTTACTGTGGTTTAGGTCAGACTAAGGCAGGGAGTTTGTCAAGAAGGTGCACACAGCAAACAAGTGACCAACAAAACCACGCCAGCTGCTCTCCCCCAGCACCCAACCCTTGTTTCTGCTAACAGGAGTACAACCTGAACTGAGTTTTAATTAAGAAACAAGCTAAATGTGGAGATCACACTTTTTTTCTTTTTGCAAGCACGTTCTGTTTAACAGTCTAAAAGAGGCTAAAACAGCCTCCAGAGTGAGAACAGCCTGTCGTACTTTAAAACTGGCTTCAAGATTTTGAGCACGTGTATAGGTGCAGCACTGATGACAAGCAGGGAAGGAAGGGAAGGTTTCGGGAGGTAAGAGCATCTTGTAGAACAGCTCTTGGCCCCCACTCCGAGGCCCTTCTGGCCGTCGGTGCACTTTTGCAAGATGGAAAAGCAGCACTTGGACGCGGCGTATCCCAGCACAGGAAATCAGACTCGGCCAGGAGATGCTGGCGGGACAGGCGCTGCCCGCGCTGCTCTTTGCAGCACAACCGCACCGCGTCTCCTTTTTCCATCCTTTCTCCAGCAACGGGAACCGCGGCACCACATCTTGGTGCATCCTCAGAGGGACCTGGGGCACGGCCAGGGCTCGGTCTGGGCTGTCCCGTGCGGGTAGCGGGACACGGGCTGTGTGCGGGGGCCGGGCATGGAGGGATGCACGGGATCCCGGCTCCGTGCGGGCACCCCGCGGCCGCAGCGAGCACGCCTGGGGCTGGGGGGAGCCCTCCCGCACCTCCGGCTGCTCCCGCCGAGCCGCCCCGGGGATGCGGCCGGCCGTGGGGACCCCCGGTCCCGCTCCTGCCGGGCGGGGCGAACCGGGGCCGGCCCCGCATCGCGATGCGAAGCAGAGCCGGCAAGGGCAGCGCGGGGGAAGCCGCGTCCGCGCAGGCGAGGGAGGCACCGCGATGCCCCGCGGGGCCCCGCCGCCCCCCGCTCACCTGGAGCTGCCGGAACTCCTCCTCCAGCTCCCGCCACTCGCCGAGGCTCCGCTCCAGCTGCTCCCGCATGGCCGCGGGGCCGCGCCAGCTCCCCGGGCCCCGGCGCGCGCCCGCCGCCCGCACCCCCGGGCCCGCGCGCCGCGTGCGCCGCTGACGTCATCGCGCGCGGTCATGGGCGCGGCCCCGCCTCTCCCCCCCCCGCCCGCCTCAGGGGAGGGACCCGTCAGGTGAGGGAGCGGCTCCGGTCTGGGCTCACCTCGGGCCGCAGAGCCCCTAAGGCCGGAGATTCCGCTCAGGTCAAGGCTCCCCTCAGGTGCGGGATCCCCTCCTGTGACGGCCCTGCTCAGGCCCGGGATCCCCTCCCGTGATGGTCCCCTTAGGCGCGGCCCCCGTCAGGCCTGTGCTCTCCTCAGGCCAGAGCTCCCCTCAGATGGCGGGGTCCCCTCGGCTGCTGTCACCCGCCCTGCCCCGGTCACCTCTTGGAGGCCCTGCACTTCTCCTGAGCCCCCTTGTGTTGTGGCAGCACCTGAAGTGCTCCGTGGTGTCACATGGAAGCATCTTCCTGCCCTTTCAGGGTGGTTCATCACACATGGAGCGAGAGTGGAGATAAAACCCTCCACTGCACAGGGCCAGCCCCCTCAGAGAGCCCTGGGGGCTGAATCTGAGGCAGCTCAGCACTGCAGCTGCCTCGACCTTGGTCACAGGTCCTTGGTATCACAGAAGATGACAAAAGGATTCCTGATGTCTTTATTTTTACAATAATTACCCATTCAGCACCTGGACTGGCCAGTTGTGAGCTGGGCCTGATGTTCTGGGGCAGAGTGGGAAGAGTTGTAAATGTTGACGCCACATCCTGCGAGTTGTGAGTTTCTTATGCAAGGGTAGAAATTGGCAAAGAGGAAGAAAAAGGGAAGGGGAAAGGAGCAATTAAAAAAAAAAAAGGTACAAGGGAGAGGAGACGGGAGGAGTGAAGTAAAAACACAAATGCAATGCTCTCTTTTCATGAGGAGTGTAGGTAGGATCCCATTTCCTTGAATTTTATGTAAACAACCAAAAACGTTGGTTGTAGAGACACTCCTCAGTGTTCTTGCTGTCCCTGGTCCTTCTCTAGGTCCACTGGTTTGATTTTGCATATTTTTTTTCATACATTTGTGGGTGGACACCTGAAGTGCCGCTGATGAGCTGCATTCAGTTTCCAGAGAAACCCTCTCAGAACTTGCAGTGGTTTGGGATTTCTGCTGGTTTGAGAAGCACCAACCCCAGGGATGTTGCATTGTCCCTGCTGCTTCTCCAGTGAGGCCACGATTGTCCAGAGATCAAACATGTGTTGTGGCAGGTCTTGGTAATCCTGAAGTAGAAAAATAAACTAATCAGCATAATAGAAATGTCACAGCAATTTGTTATGTCTGTGTTAAATTTTTCCTGGATTCTAGCATTTGTCCACAATCCTGTGTGACAGGACTTTATGTTACAGGAGGCCTGGAGTTTGGATTGCAGACTTTGGAGGAAGGAGGATCACATCTCAGATCCGAGCGTTGACTCCGCGCTGGATACGTGCCAAAACTTTCCAGTTCACCACAAGGTTGGAATACTCCCTGCCAGCAAAGTTATTTCTCCTTGCCACATGAAAACATTCCCTCCACCTTTGCAGATCCCTGTCAGCTCAGTTTATCACCACCTCTGAGATGTAGCTGCATCTTACCCCTTGCTGCTGAGGCTGGGGTGCTGACACCCTCCTACAGATCTGGAATCCAGAAAGTAAAAACATTTTAACATTTGTAGGATTGCTTGAGTCAGTTCAGGAAAAGGTGCTTTTAGAAGATATCATAAATTGTCAATAGCCCTTAAAAGTATTCCTTTCACTGCTGATCTGTAAGCCTCAAAAGAGCAGAAGGAAACTCTTATCAGACATGAGTATTTGTCCTGGGCTGGAATTCTGCAGGCTGATGACATTTAGTTAGGGCTGTGGTGTGAGTTTCACATACAAAGGCAGGAAATGTTGTGCATTTCCCACTCAGAGCCCTGCTGGGCCAGCCACAGAGCTCTCCCAGAACACCAAGGGATTTATCCCAAACTTTCCTACCTCTCCCCTACACCTCTGGACAAGGAACAATTCTTACACATGTTGTGGCTGTGCATAATGATTACCCCAAAAGATTTCTTTTAACTTTTTAACTACACCATGCTAATTAATATCCATTCAAGAGATCTGCATTTTCTTTCAAACAGAAACCACAAAAACATTTAGTTAAGCACAAACATTGTGAGTGTAGCAGGGCTGGCCTTACAGCTGGCTCTGCATTATTTAACCTTTCACTGTTACAAAATAGTTCAGAATTACCTGTAAGCTCTCCCCACTCCTGGGAGGCTGCAGCTGTTGGTATAATCTCATTATTTCAATCACATCTTTGTGAATGAAAGCAAAGCAAGCTGAGCTAGCAGGGATCCCCTCAGCCCTGCATGGGGAGCAGGGCTCTGTGCAGCTGCTGCTCAGGGCTCCCACACCTCACCTGTCTTTCACTTGTGGCAACACATGAGGATTGCTGCTTTTCCTCTGAATTTCAATATTTTATGGTCATTTTTCACGGTATCTTGCAAGTTTTAATGGCTGTCTTCTGCTGCCAGAGATCACCTAAGGCCATTGCACAGCAAATTTGCAAACATGAAATCTCTGGTTTGCCTTTACCTGAATTAATCCCCAACTCACCAACTTTTCATTGCCAGAAAACGTGTCTAAGAAATTGAGTTCATAAATCAAGTTAAGGATCACAGAGAAATTGTGGCTATTTTTTCTCTGGGTGTTAGATTTTGTGTGAGTACACATGGTTTTATATATGTACAATCACATGTGAGCTCCTTTCCTTCACCCTCCAGACTATTCCTGAATGCAAATTCCATTCATTCTTTCCTCTTAGGATAATTGAGGCTGTTTCCTTTGATGCTTTCCCCCTGTCTTAGAAATGCAGATTCTTTCCAGCACAGCAAAGGAGAAAGGACAAAATATAAATGTAGATGAGTCCCTATTCTGCCATCAGGTGACAATAAGCCATGATAAATAAAATACTTGGCACACGTTTCAGCTGGAGATTCATAGTGCTGATTCATCTTGTATTCATCTGGATTTATCCTTCAATTAAGGAATAAATTAAGGATTTGAAGTGAGGCATTAGCTCAAGTATGGCCAAATTTATCTGCCTCCAATGATATTAAGAGTCTTGCAAAGCACTCCACGGTCAGTAAATAATTCTCAGCTTTGGGTGACTTCAGGAATTCACATCAAGACTTTACCTTTAAACCTCTGTCCTGTTGCAGGTAGTTCAGCAGAGACCAAGAGGTGTAAATCGGCAGCAACGGGAGCTCCTGGGGAGAGGGTATCTGGTGTCAGCTCCCAGGGCTTCAGCCTTTCAATTTGCAGGACTATCTAAGAGCCTGAACATTCCAGATAACCCAGGGGTTTAACTTTAGGTTGTTTTGATGTAAAACCAACACGGTTTTTATCTTGAAAGAACTGCTCCCAGCCAAAAGGAGGGAAGAATTTTAAATGCTTTCCCACAAGGCTGCCTCTTAAGCCAGAGGCATCAGGTGAAGTTTACACTTCAAACTTTTCACTTCAATCCCTCCTAAATCCTGCTAATGACAATTCTTTAGAGCAGAGTGGGGGATGCTCCTTCAGCTCACCAAAACAGGCTTGGTTGGAGTCCAAGACCCTCCCACCTCTTCCCTGGCTTTTCTTTTGAATATAGCAGCAATAAAACACACATCTGAGCATCCCACTTCCACAGTATGTTGTTGTCACACTCTTCACCTTTAAAGAATTCCAACATATGTTTCCCTAAATGCTTTTTCTCTATTTATTCTACAAAGTTCCCAGAATAAATTTAATTTATTGATTCTGACAGTTTTCAGTTGGTTTGGACATTTCACTTGGGTGATTCCCCAAGCTTAGTGCAAGCAAACTCAGCTTGGAGCAGCTGTCTCCTTTCAGTGCAAAAATGATTGGTTTCAGATGTAGAATACTGAGGGCCTTGGCCTATATATATATATATATATATATATATATATATTTATTTATTTATATTTTTTAAAATCCTGCCCTTAAAAGTAGAAAAAATGGAAAGTGCATAGTGTGTCACAGGGCCTTGCTGCAGAAAGGTGTTTCTGGGCATGATTCCATGCACAAATTCCCAGTGCTTGGTTTGCTCCTCAGTGTGTCCAGCCTGGAAGTGGAGTTCACTGCCATGAGCTGTGTTGGCAGAATAATGGGCTGAATCACAGCATAATTTACATGGACAGATTTAAAAGCTTCCTTTCAGTCCTAAGAAATGTAAGGTTTAATCAACTGCCAGACACAGCAGCAGCAGCACAAGGAGCAGCAGAACTGCAGCCCTGGCACTGCCCAGTGGAGGTTTTGCTCTTGTTCCTTGGTGTCAGTGGCCAATGCCTGTCACAGTGAAAAAAGGAAAAGAAAACACCCAAAAGGGCTATTTGGAGCCAAATTTTGGCTGGCAAGGCTGGAACAAGGGGAACTGTGTCAAGGAAAACCCAAATTCTCCTCCTAGCACATCATAGCTTGGGGTTTTGACCCTACTTTGCATAGTGGCCTCAATGTTGTGCCTGGAAACAACTGCCCTAGGGAGAGGAAGAGAGTTTGGTGAGGACATTTCTGGGTCAGTTTGAGTTTATGTCTCACTCTTTGACTGAGTTATATATTCTAGATGTATCTGACACCCTTTACAAAAATTTTCCCCACTTCCTACTTACTAAGGGGATTCCTTCTCTCAAAAGGGAATGACATTTTCTAAGTAAAATTTCTTTTGAGTGAGTGAAAAGAACTTTCTGATAAAACTTCAAATATCACCACCTTCTCTTCAAGCTGGTCTAATTTTGTCTTTTTTTGTAAGAAGAATATGCTTGTATTTACCCACTCTGTACCCTTGTAATACAAAAAGGTACAGAATGATATTATCAAGTGACAAAATAATTAAATATGATTCAAGTGTTTATATCTGAACTAAGAAAACTGTAGATGGGAATCACACCCAGCCTCTTCCTAGATAAATTATCTGTGAAACCTCCTTG